GTCCCACCTAACTGTCTATTAACCCCCTCCATGAATGCATTGCCTTAAGTGTTGACTTGCATTTTTTTTTTTTTTAGCTCTTGAAATTATAGGGTAGAGGGTAAAAATTGAGACTGTGTTCACAGGCGTGATATGCCCCTGATTCCATCTGCTAAGGATTAACCCACAAAAACCGATGCATGGCAGGCAGGATTAGAGTATTTCATTGTTTTACAGAGATGATGCAGCAAGCAGCTAGAAATGGCCTTTGCTATGATTTAAAGTTAACATTGCTGGCATAAGAAGCTCTAGAATGTCCTTGCCCTTCTTCTGAACGGCTATGTACTAATAGGCTATGATATGGCTAACAAGATCTGAATACAGCGAGTAACGCCTAGGCAACATTGCTGGCATCACAAGCTCTAAAATGCCCTTGCCCTTCTTCCTCTGGATGGCTAAGTACCAATAGGCTACGATATGGCTAACAAGATCTGAATACAGCGAGTACTGCTTAGGCATCGCTACATTTGTATTTCTCCAGGACCAGACATATCCTGGCCTCCTTTTCACATTCCATGGCTGTGATGTAAGCATTATTACAGCACCATGTTGATAATAGACATCAGAGCAGAATCCATTTTCCTTTGCAGAAAGTATTCCATGCAGTAATCTGTAAAGCTTTCGATTTTTTTTTTATGACTTGACCTCCTCCTAAATGTTTAGAACTGCATGCACATACTAGAATTCTGTTAGGGAGTTGGTGAAAGAGAGAGTATCTGAGCATAGAAAGTAAAGGCAACTATGCAAAATGCCAGTAAGCTACTACAGAGAAGGAATTATTAAACATGTTACACAGCTCTTAGGGCCGGTTTATACCATAAAGAGTGCGTTCCAGAGCATTGGCCTCTGGAACACAACCCGGCCGACTCCCCGTGGCAGTGCATTGAAGTCAATGGCACCGCAGCCACGTCTCCCGCCCGCAGTGCAATCGCCGACACATCAAACAGTTGGTGTTGGTCTCCAAGCGGAGATACTCCCTTGATCAAGTGACATTGCTTGGGCCCAGTGCTATGATTGGTTACTAGACCCTAGCACTGTCATGGGGGACATGTTTCCCCAAAAACAGAAGCCTTGAATATTGTTGCTGGTTGCAACGGAGGTAGTTTTCCTACAAAGACACTGTCACTTTGCCCTGACGAGCTGCAATCATGTGACATCATTGTGAGATGATGGTAGTTGTCAGCCTCTGACCTAAGGTTGCATGCCAATTGGTGATGGTGGGAAGTTTATTGATGTGCCACACTGTTTTTGCTTATCATTTTGGATAACACATTCTTCATTCTGTGTTGACCACCATGCAGTACACACTACTACAGTTAACTGAAAAGAACATGCTGGATACAGGTGCATTTAATGCAGAAGTAGATATATAATTTAGGAGGTAACAGGTCCAGCCTTGGGACCAGTACGGACTTGCTTTTAAAGGTGCAGGCACCAGGGCTGTCATACTGTTCATAGCTTCCCTACCTAGTGAATCGCTCTCCTACAACACGCTTGCAGGATGGAGTTTAGACTTTACTGATTGCATGTTGGTTCCAGGTCAGTGACTTACAAGATATTAAATCCAGGCTGAAGAGGACAGCCCCGAAATCAGCAGAGGCAGCTTCTGTGGTTTTTAGCTCATTGGCCACCTGCATCCTGAGGTTGTCCAGCACTGATTTAGCCCAATGTCACAGCAATATTCTGTTCACTGTAAATGTTATTTGTAATGTGAACTTCACAGACTGGTACAGCAAGAAACAGCCTCATCACCCTTGCGCATGTATGCTACAACTGTTCTGCTTAAGGGCATTGTTGAAATACACACAAGCACAATATCTGTAAGGTGTTGTGAAGCTCTCAGATACTATATATTGCATCAAAGAACTGGAATAAAAAACAGGTTGACTTTACAAAAGCCAAGAAAGACCAAAGCTTTGTTTTCTCTACAAGCCTAATCTGTAAGTGTGTGTATATAAAATGTATATTTCAGATGTAATGTTCTGGCAATGTAAACCAATAAATGTGACATGAACAATTGGCCTGATTTTATTTTTTATTCATAGCACTGGATACTAGGGATGCATCAATACCGGTTTTTCGGTACTCGCCCATACTGATACCGTAAGTCCCATTAAGGAAGCCAGGTGACGTGTAATGACTCTCCACCTGGCTTCCTGATTAGACGGGAAGCCGGGCGGCTTTCCGATTAGCATGGAAGTCATCTCTATGCTCCCTCATCACCAGGTGAGGAGAAAACATGGAGCCGGCTTCCTGATTGGTCGAGAAACTGGCCAATCAGGAAGCCGGGCAACATGTCCTTGCACGGCACCCCGGCTTCCTGATTGACCGGGAAGCCAGCTCCAAGCTCCCTCGTCACCAGGTGACAAGGGAGAATTAAGCTGGCTATCTGGCCAATTAGAAAGCCGGGTGCTGTGTAATGACACGCTGCCCAGCTTCTCCATGCTCCCTGGCCCATCAGGAAGCCGGGCAGCGTGCAATGTCCAACTTTCTGATACCGGAAGCTCAAGTTTCGGGCTAGGCATCAGAGCATTTGGGTGAGTACAAGTACTCGCCCAATTACTCGGCCCCGATACCAGTATCGGTATCTGCGCATCCCTACTGCATACTATCTGATACTTGTCTACACAAGCGTCACATTTGCAGGCTCCTTCCACTAGCAGCAGACGATCGGACATTTGGCTGAAATATTAGTTGCACTGTGTTGTGATTCAGCCAAGAGGAAGTAGGTCTGGATCATATTTTCATAGTACAAGTCCGCCATGATTTTAACAATAGGGTCCACTGTTAATCTGAAATATGCATATTATTCTAAAAATACAGTATCCAGGAAAAGCCAAATGATTAGTGTCTGCACAGCAGGGATTTGTTTACATCCTGTGTGTTCTTCACTTAACATAGCACAGACTAGAGGTACATGTTCTCACCTAGCTTCTGAGATGTGTGTGTATATTGCCATCTTTGAAATGCTAAAAAATATAACTCCCATCCCATGCAGTGCACAATCATAAAATGTTCTGCAATAGCCTAGTTGTGCACAGAGAACATGTTAGACATCCAAACGTGTTCACGTTCTACTACAATAGGGAAGAGTTATTCATATTTGAAAAAGAAATATGTAAAAGCAGAGCTCTGAGTGTAGAATGTGAGAGAAAGATTAATAGGGAAGTCCTTGTCACCTTAAAAAAAAAAAACTCCCTTCAAAATGTCTTAAAAGGTAAAATAGGACAGGATTGTAATACTGTACAATGATTTAGGCGCTCAAAAGAGTTTATTATTAAAAGGGGAACTTTACCCTTATCTTTGAAAAATTACAACAAATACACCTTTAGGCCTGGTTCACACCTCGAGAACAGCGTTTTTGCACATTTGACATGCATTTTTGATGCACGTTTCTGCATACGTTTTATGCGCATACAGCGTTTGTGAGCAGATTGTAGCTCATTGATGTTAATGAGAAAAAACACAGCAAATGGTTGTTTAAGTGTTTCTTATTGTTTCTTATTGAGCCTATGGGGCCAAAAGAAAAGCTCCTTATTGCGACAAAACACTCAGATGTGAACAGGGCCATAGAAATTAATGGGATTTTTTTTTGGGGGGGCAGATTTTTTGATAGTTTTTTTTAGGGCAGAAAAAGAAGTACAAAACGCTCAGTGTGAGCCAGGCCATAGAAATGTTTAGTAATGATGATCTACAAACTGATACTTCTAGATTATTGCAGACTTTTTATTGCATACTTTATTTTCTCCCCTATTCTCACAGCAGCCATTTTAACTAAGGGCAGATTAATAGATCTCCCTTTACTCCCTGGAACTCTGGCACATGTGACCATGCACATCATCTCAGGGGTGGAAAATGCTTTTTCCTGAGATCTCAAGGGATTACAGATGAGATTTCCCAGCAATGCTCTGCTGATGTAATCTTCCCAGGATGCAATGCTTGGGCACATTACTAGTGCACGAGAGGACCAGGAAATGGACAAACATTAACTGAAAGTAAAATCTAAATATGTTTAACTAATGTATACAAGATGATTTAATATCAGCATGCAGAGCTGCATGCTGACGTGTTTAGCAAAAAGGGGTAAAGGTCTGCTTTAAGACTGCAATAAAACAGCAATAACAGTTCAGAACGGTTATTGCCATTTTACAACTGTAAACAGCAACAATTCAAACGTCTTCTCAATCCATAAAAAATACACAAAGCCAACCTTCAAAGCATAAAAGTTTTAATTTAACAAAATGTGATACAAGACCATTTTACCGCTCAGTCCCGAAGTTCACCCTCAGTCCCGTACAGCCTTTCATTAAACCATTGACATTTCAACTGTCCCCTCCGTTTCACACAGAACAAAACTGAAAAGATGAAGAGGACTTTACTAGGAAAGGTGCATTCTAGAGAACATGGGTAGCCATCCACATTTAAGAACCAGAGGCGCCAGGGGGGGGGGGGGTCGCATTGTTGCAAGGTCCACTTTAAATTTAATGTCTATATTTAATAATCGCACTACTATATACTTATCCAAGGCCTAATCATTTTGCTATTTATTGATTTCACTTTGTTTGCTGTAACCATCGTTGGCATGCAAATGCATCTTTTTTTTTTTTTCTAAGTCTACATCCACATGGATGGTTTATTTAAAGACTTTTACAGTCACCATTAGTGATTCATGCCATTTGGTAAGCAGGTAGGCATTTTAGATTCTGTGCATACAACTGTCAGTTCCAACATATAATGAAATTATAAGGAATCAATGGTTCCAAACCTTGAGGTCCTAATAACCTCTTGATATTTGCTTTTATTACCTTGAGTGGCTAATACCCACAGAATGCTGGCAGCAATGAAAACAGCTCCCTCTCAACTGCTGCCATTACGGTCACATTTTGTTTCTCACTATGAATGGTGCATTGGGTGGTTGGCAGGTTTCTGAGTCCCACCTAACTGCATATTAACACCATCCATGAATGCATTGCCTTAAGTGTTGACTTGCATTTTTTTTTTTTTTAGCTCTTGAAATTATAGGGTAGAGGGTAAAAATTGAGACTGTGTTCACAGGCGTGATATGCCCCTGATTCCATCTGCTAAGGATTAACCCACAAAAACCGATGCATGGCAGGCAGGATTAGAGTATTTCATTGTTTTACAGAGATGATGCAGCAAGCAGCTAGAAATGGCCTTTGCTATGATTTAAAGTTAACATTGCTGGCATAAGAAGCTCTAGAATGTCCTTGCCCTTCTTCTGAACGGCTATGTACTAATAGGCTATGATATGGCTAACAAGATCTGAATACAGCGAGTAACGCCTAGGCAACATTGCTGGCATCACAAGCTCTAAAATGCCCTTGCCCTTCTTCCTCTGGATGGCTAAGTACCAATAGGCTACGATATGGCTAACAAGATCTGAATACAGCGAGTACTGCTTAGGCATCGCTACATTTGTATTTCTCCAGGACCAGACATATCCTGGCCTCCTTTTCACATTCCATGGCTGTGATGTAAGCATTATTACAGCACCATGTTGATAATAGACATCAGAGCAGAATCCATTTTCCTTTGCAGAAAGTATTCCATGCAGTAATCTGTAAAGCTTTCGATTTTTTTTTTATGACTTGACCTCCTCCTAAATGTTTAGAACTGCATGCACATACTAGAATTCTGTTAGGGAGTTGGTGAAAGAGAGAGTATCTGAGCATAGAAAGTAAAGGCAACTATGCAAAATGCCAGTAAGCTACTACAGAGAAGGAATTATTAAACATGTTACACAGCTCTTAGGGCCGGTTTATACCATAAAGAGTGCGTTCCAGAGCATTGGCCTCTGGAACACAACCCGGCCGACTCCCCGTGGCAGTGCATTGAAGTCAATGGCACCGCAGCCACGTCTCCCGCCCGCAGTGCAATCGCCGACACATCAAACAGTTGGTGTTGGTCTCCAAGCGGAGATACTCCCTTGATCAAGTGACATTGCTTGGGCCCAGTGCTATGATTGGTTACTAGACCCTAGCACTGTCATGGGGGACATGTTTCCCCAAAAACAGAAGCCTTGAATATTGTTGCTGGTTGCAACGGAGGTAGTTTTCCTACAAAGACACTGTCACTTTGCCCTGACGAGCTGCAATCATGTGACATCATTGTGAGATGATGGTAGTTGTCAGCCTCTGACCTAAGGTTGCATGCCAATTGGTGATGGTGGGAAGTTTATTGATGTGCCACACTGTTTTTGCTTATCATTTTGGATAACACATTCTTCATTCTGTGTTGACCACCATGCAGTACACACTACTACAGTTAACTGAAAAGAACATGCTGGATACAGGTGCATTTAATGCAGAAGTAGATATATAATTTAGGAGGTAACAGGTCCAGCCTTGGGACCAGTACGGACTTGCTTTTAAAGGTGCAGGCACCAGGGCTGTCATACTGTTCATAGCTTCCCTACCTAGTGAATCGCTCTCCTACAACACGCTTGCAGGATGGAGTTTAGACTTTACTGATTGCATGTTGGTTCCAGGTCAGTGACTTACAAGATATTAAATCCAGGCTGAAGAGGACAGCCCCGAAATCAGCAGAGGCAGCTTCTGTGGTTTTTAGCTCATTGGCCACCTGCATCCTGAGGTTGTCCAGCACTGATTTAGCCCAATGTCACAGCAATATTCTGTTCACTGTAAATGTTATTTGTAATGTGAACTTCACAGACTGGTACAGCAAGAAACAGCCTCATCACCCTTGCGCATGTATGCTACAACTGTTCTGCTTAAGGGCATTGTTGAAATACACACAAGCACAATATCTGTAAGGTGTTGTGAAGCTCTCAGATACTATATATTGCATCAAAGAACTGGAATAAAAAACAGGTTGACTTTACAAAAGCCAAGAAAGACCAAAGCTTTGTTTTCTCTACAAGCCTAATCTGTAAGTGTGTGTATATAAAATGTATATTTCAGATGTAATGTTCTGGCAATGTAAACCAATAAATGTGACATGAACAATTGGCCTGATTTTATTTTTTATTCATAGC